GAGCAAGGACGCTACTAGGGGCTCCTGGCATCGCTACTAGGAGCAAGAAGCTACCAGGGGCTCCTGGCCTTGCTACCAGGAGCAAGGACGCTACTAGGGGCTCCTGGCATCGTTACTAGGAGCAAGGATGCTACTAGGGGCTCCTGGCCTTACTACTAGGAGCAAGGACTACTAGGGGCTCCTGGCATCGCTACTAGGAGCAAGAAGCTACTAGGGGCTCCTGGCATCGCTACTATTGCAATTTGGGTACTGGAGACTCACAAACGACATTCCTTACATAAAGCCAAGGGGCAGCGTTTGGATTGGCTTTGTTCTCCAACAAAACTCGCAGCACTTTTGGGCTTGGTGGTATCTGTCGTGCCCTGATAGCATTCAGCATTCCCGGATGATCCAGGTACACACTTCCTCTTTCCTCTTTCTGGCTAGTTGCAAACTTGGGTCAAATGTTAAGCAACTCCAATTTCAACAGGATCATTTCTCTTTTGCTTTTGTTTTTCACTACATAGCTTTGTTTTCGGTGCCTCTGCCCAAAGGATGCAATGACCAAGCCTTGGCCACAAGCGGCATTTGGGCACCATCGCATTTGCAAACTTCCACATGCGAAGTGCAACTTAAGAGCCGTCTGGGATAGGAAATCCAAACTTCAGGAAAGCCTTGGCATCTTCTAGAGCGTCCTGAAATGTATGGGGCATTGCACAATGAACAAATTGAATCGCTATACTATTTATTATATGTCTAATCAATTTTTGTTATATGGTTATTTATTTATGCTATATAATCAGTTGCTTTCGCATTGCTTTCTCCCCTCCTCTCCACGTTGAAGCCTGGCAGCCAAGGCTTCAGCTGCGGCCTCAATATTGCAAAGGTGTTGAACAACTAGCTGGTGCTTTGGCATCGTTGAGAGCAGTGCACTAGGTCACCAGGTGCTGTCAATGGGTCCGGTCAAGCACGACAACTGTATACAAAAGCAATGGCCTCCAACCTAATATATAGCGATGGCCTCCAACCTACTCATGAAGAAACACTTGAAGTGGCCGGCCTGAGCTTGAGCCAGAGTCATGACAGCACTGGGCAAATTGGAGTCTGATCTCTTCAAAGCCGTCAATGTGTGTTGAAAGCGTTGCTCTTATCTTCAGCATGTACAATGGCATTGTTCTTGACTTGTGCTTGGAGAGTTCGAGCCAATGCGAAAAGTAACGTTTCCAGCAACCAGCATCTCTTGGATTGCAGGGGCACGTGAAGGACAAAGGCGTACTCTGGCTGCAAAGATCCGTGGACTTCCGTGCAAGCCATGTCTTAAAGCCACGCTAGCTCATGCCATTTGACACAAGTGGAGGTTAAATGGTTTGGCACAACATTATCAGGGATACATCAAAATGCAAAAATTGGGGCACTACCCTTTTCTTAACCTGTTTCCTGAACTGTCTTTTGCAGGACGCTACTCAAAAGGAATGCATTGTGCCCAAGGCATTAGGCTAGGCCCAAGGCAAGGGCAGAAGATAGGAAAATAGAAACGCCACTTCATTTGGCACGTTTATAGACCTTCTTCAAGAAAATCTCGATCATTTCCCATGGCAAGTTTGCTTGAGTGACTTTGCTCTTGAAGGCAAGGATGTCATTGAACGACTTGGTCTCGTAATTCTGGTATTTCTCCTCCAATCCAACCGCCTTGTAAATGTCCTTGATCTTCTGCTCCTCTTCAGTTTGGACTTTGCACTTTCCATAGTGCTCGTCCAAAAAGGCTTTCTGTTCTGAAGAGCACAAGTCGTGGTAGGCTTGGACAAAGAGCCACCCACACTTCTTGTCTTGAATGTCTGTCCCTATCTTGCCCAGGGTTTCTGGTGGTGCAAATGCATCCAAGTAATCGTCCTGTGCCTGGAAATAGACACCCATGAGTAACAAAGGCTCTCTAGCTGCATCGTAGGCTTCTTGATCCTTGATCCCTGCTACTGTCATTCCCAGAGCAACTGGCAAGTAGAAGGAGTAAAAAGCGGTCTTGTACTTCACAATGAGCTCCCAGCGAGTGTAGGTAAAGTCTTGAAGGCCAATGTTCTTGCATTGAAGATCCAAGAGCTGTCCACATTCCGTCTGGAAGGTGGTCTCCATGAACAAGTCGAGCAGGTCCAAATAGTAGGGTTCCGTCCAAAAGTGGCGTTTCAAGACACGGTAGACAAGCATCTCAATCATAAAAGCATCGTTGATGGCAATTTCTTCGACTCCATCCTTTTTGTACCAGCAAGGTTGGCCCCGGCGTGTCTGTGAACTATCCATGAAGTCATCTGCAACAAGAAGCCAAGCTTGGAGCCATTCGATGCACCAGCCCAGCACTGCAAGTTTCTTCAAGTCATCCTCAGTTGGTTCTTTTCCTTGAGATCTCAGGATGATAGCACCACTCTCAACAACCATCAATCCGCGGTTCATCTTTCCGCCTTTCACATTGTATTCCAACATGTCCACTATCCACTTCTGCTCCATAGAAGGAAGCTCATGTGTTGTGGGCAAGTCTTTCGTACATTCTTGTATCAAGCTTTCGCAAATCGCGACAAATGACTTTGCAGGTGCTTCCGGATCATATTTCGGAAAACCATCCCTCACACCTGCTTCTGGCAAAGGATATTTCCACTCTGTGGCTGGATAGTGGTGAACTTCCTCAGATTTGTCCGCATCTTGAATGAAACTCAGCGCGATCAGCGTGCCGATGCTGAGGATCAAGGGGATCAATGCATTGTGCGGAAGCAAGGCCAGCCACTGGTAGTTGCCAGCCAGGACCGCCAAGGCACAAGCAGTGCTGGCCAACCTTAGGTAGATGGGCTGAATCGACATTGCGTGATCCACAAAAGGGAAAATTGATGAAAATTGAGCCACACAATGCTTCCGCTTGAGCATCATGATGCACCTGCAACATGCTAGCTGCGTCTGACCTTGATAGCATTCGACCGCCTATTCTAGACCTCTGCTGACACTGTCTTGTATATGCAATAATAACACACTTATGATTGGGTGTACTGAACTGAAAGCGGTGCAACACGCCAGACCAAATCCTGAAAAACCAGGTGAAGGGGCCTGAGCGCCTGTAGTAGTTAAAGGCCAAAGTTCCAAAGCCACGAAGCGACGACCAGGTCGAAATGACGACGTACGCTCTTGTCTGCCGAGTGCATTAGCCCTTTATCAAATGTTAAAAATTGCAAGTACGTCGGAGTGATCAGCTCCGATATCCTCCCAACTCATGAGCAGCTTCGTTGGCAGTAGACTCATGAGTGGGCTACTGCATGCAACTGTTGCTAATGTCCCCTGCTGAAAAAAAAAAGAATCCCTGTGACTACAAGGGGCACACACACACATACACCAGTCCTTACAAACCTCGATGAACACTAACTGTCACTAACTCCAATTGTTTAGAGATTTGATTGCAATCTGCAGGTTGCAGTGTGTTTGCAACTGACCCCTTTCTGATCCTGCAGTCATCCATAACTGCAAGGTCATCGGGGAATGAGCAACATCTCACCGTGGACAAACGAACCAAATCACAAGCCGTAAGACTGCACAAGGCTTCCGCACTAGAGGCGCGCTGTTTCATTCATGGCACGGTTCAAAAGCGACTCCTTCATTTACGATCGCTTCTCCAGCCTTCCTGAAATCTTCTGCTTAATTAACGTATCGCTATTAGGGTGGAGGCCATCGCTTCTAGGTTGGAGGCCCTTGCTCTTAGGGTGGAGGCCATTGCTGTTAGGTTGGACACGAGTTGGCCTTGAAGCGCACAAAACGCACCGCTACCGGCTATAAATCGACCAGCACTCCTCTCAGAGTGGCGAAAATACGTACACTTACACCACAGACCACATCTCACCGTCATGTGAGACAACATGCCCAGCGAAGTGCTTGGATCCTCAAGAAAGTCAATTGCAAACAGCCGCACCCGCTGAAGCAGAACCTATCCTCCCACTTTTCCGGGACCGAACCGTCCTTTGTTTCTAAAGTGGACGTTTCTTTTGAGTAATGTGCAGATGCCATCCGATACCACTTGCTGCATGTAGACATGAATTGAGCCTGGCTATTGGTGCGTGACAGACCGAGTGACTGAGTAAGCCATTCCTGGGGCGACCACGGCTGGGCAAATGATAGAATGAAGGCTTGCGGCCCTTGGCTTTCTACTGCAAACACGACAAACACATGAATATCCTGGAATCTTTCGGAACTGAAGTGAAGACTTTCTCAAGACTCAACGGATTTCACGAGAAGTTTACTTTTCCATGGCTGTTCTCCCTAAATCACCGGATCTTTGGGGCCCAGAATGTTTGCCAGGCACCGGTGAGTCGGCATGGTCCCGCACCTCTGGCCAGACCCTAAGGACACATGTTCAACACATGTTCTACACGATTCTACACATGTTTTAAACAAATATGTTCTGTTTTTGCTTAAAATCTGAAGGAGGATCGTAATTCAATATACTAATGTTACCTAATGCATGCTACTGTTGAATGTTTGTGGTCCGAAACGATGGGGCAATGAGCCAGAGCTTCGTAACCTGTCTGAATTCAAACGCGCCTGTGCTCAAACACAGGTCTGAAACTGATTGGAATGCGCTTCGCTGTACACAAGTTACACAATGGTATGAGGATAATACAGGTTGAATTGCCGAAACGCACTCGATGAAACACGTATACAACCAAGGATCTCTATATTGACGGTCAGGAGCTGCTTTGGGCATACGAGCTCTGCGACTTTGTCTCCAACGGTAGTGTGTGCAAATCTAGCTAGCTTGCGCTGCATTTGGAGCTGTCTACAGAGTGTAAATCCCTGCTAACAGCAACGCAGTGTGGTCTACAAGCACGAGGAAACACTGTGCATGACTTGCATTTAGAAGCTCCAAAAAGGACACACTTCCCATGAAAGAATCGATCCCAATTAAGCTCATCCCATGCCAATCTACAAAACAGAATGGCGAGATCCTCAGTCAGGTTGCGGTTGCTCAGTGTGCCACAGGAGCACAAACTAGCAAATTAGCAAAGTGGCGCTTTTGAAACAATTCCACCACATTGCCGAACTGAACATGTACAAGTTGTGGTCCCTTCAAAAGACCACAAGAACATTGCCACACTGCCCTGTGCACTGTAGGCTTAAAAGCTGACATCCTGTCAGGCCCTGTGTGACAAAAGTGTAAATCTTCGAAGCTGTCAGTCAGCCACACCACGCTGCTGGCTCAGCGAAGTTGCTCATCTGAATCTGAACTTTGCTCATGCGGTTTGAGGGAATCTCTTCAAAGTCAAGAATCCACCAGTGTCACCGTTGCCGAAAGCGAGGTAGGCCCCGAAATCCTGGCAAAGCACATTGATTCTTCATAATATATCGCGTCAGAATACAGTCTCCTTGGCCATCTGTGCGCTCTGGACATCTACGATGTTGCGAAGCTGCTCGCTCAGACCTCGATTCTTGGAGGTTGGAAGCCTAGTTAGGCCCTAATAAGGCTTGCTGAATTTGGCACGATTTGCCAAGGCTCCAACCATGCAATCTGCTGAGGGCCACCCGCAGCATGCCAATCCCCTCGGATCGGGGCAATGGCACTTAGAAAACAAGATGGTCTCACCTCATTTCACTGTCTATCTATATATAGTTCTATATATATATAGATAGACAAATAAATGGATACACTATAGATATTCCATTCCATTATTCCTTTGGCGCACTTGTTGATTGTGCCTTTGTTTGGCATGGTCTGCGGCCTTCAGCCCTTTACGTGCACGCTCAATTACGTGCATCTTGTTCTGGAAGGGTATGCAACACTTCCAACACTCCCTGGCTCCTATCTGCACTCACTTGCATGGCCATATTTTTGAACCTCCAGCGGGTGTGACAACTTCCACCAACTCGTAAGATAGCGTTACGGCCCTCAGCTCATCCTTGCTCAGTTGTTGCCCCTCTCTTTCTCATTGTTCCTTCTTTGACGGCTTCAGAACTCCTGCTTGCGCCATCTTGCGCCAACGACTGTACCAGAAAACAGAAAACTATCAGCACATTTGGCAGCGATCAGCGAGCAGCTCTTTTTCTGGTCTGTCGGAAAAATTGTTCGTAGGTCGGGGGTATGATCGGCAGCAACGGACTCTTCCAGTACTTTCTATAGTCCGGAACGAACCATTCAGCAACCTTCTTCTCCTCTTGCTGGAACATCTCAAACACAAGACATGACAAGCCCACAAGGAAGAAAACATGGGGGCAACGACTGTTCCTTGCAAGCCAAAGAAAGAATAGCCGCGGAACCTTGCTGCTCCTGCACTAGTCTGCTTATGTAATGCAGCTTGAGTTTGGCTGGAATCGCTTGGAGTCGCTTGCATAAAACTTTGCCTTGAAGGCATGCACGAGACTTACACTGCCCAGACCAACAACATACTGTGTACAAATACAAGCTCAAATACTGTGGGGGCCAATCTACCAGCGAAGCCCTTGGAAACTGCTTGCCTTGGCGCCTTAGGGTTTAGATTGCGCCAAATGCTGGAACTTTGGCCTTGTGCCTTGCATTTCCTTTGAGCTGGTGGTTGGATACAAAGTTCAAAATTAGCTCTAGACACAGAACCAGTGGAACTACTTGCATCGAAGGAGCTGTTGATGAATCGACGTCATAGTCGTCACGAGCGACCTACCAATGGCGCCAGTACAGCACTTGGTCAAAAGCAAGTACAAAAAAAGAACATTCTAACAGCACTTGCTTTCTAACAGAACAGAAAGCACATGTTCTTTTTTGATAAAGAAGCAGGCCCCACAAAGGGTTCCACAAGCAGCGACAGCATTTTTTTGCAGCTGGCCACCTGCAGCTTCTTGATCTCGTCACGGATACGGCCTCAGGTAGTATCGAAATCGATAAATTATGATAAATTGACAAGTGCAGGCGCACCACTGCTTTTCAACCCGAGCCCTTCTTGGAATGACCAACATGCAATCATGTTCTGTAAAGAAGTACACGACATCGAAAAATGATGTCAGACTTACAAAAAGCAGTCGGCAAAACCCTAATTATATAGTTGCCGTTGGCTGCATTTGGTTGCACAGAACCATCTCATGACACCTACGGAACCTGACAAGCGGAAAGGCCAAGGAAATAAGAGACATGGAAGACAAACAGGAGCCAAATGAATAGTGCGCGCGCTTCTTCAAGGAAGCTCCCCCCCCGCCACCTTTAGGGCGGCGGGGGAGCTTCCTTGAAGAAGCGTGAGCTATCCTGCGTCCTAGGTAGTAGCTACCCCCCTTAAAAAAGAAAAGGTCAAAGGTCTAGCAAATGCTTTTCAGTGATGCCAGACCACAGAGCAACTCTCAAGCATACTTAGAGGCTTTCATCAGCAATCTGAGGACACAAGGGAGGGGACAAGTAGCCACAGGGGACATGTAGGGAGACAAAGGAAACAGGAGCAAAATGTATCCTGGAAACTTCAGTGCAAGATGTTTGGGGGGTGATAATCAAGTCGCACCTGTCACCATTTTTGCATAATACAGTAATATACATCTCTAATCATCTCTACAAGAGGCAAAGGGTGAGGGCATATCCTCAAAGAAATTAGGTTGGAGGCCATCGCTAGTAGTTTGGAGGCCATCGCTCTTAGAAACAATATAGAAGTGATAGTTGAAATGTCGAAGCTCAAATCGCCTGGCCTTCATCTCTTTCAAGCTGCTTCTGAATCTTCTCAATCTCTTCAACGGTGCAGCCCTCTGCAAGGCACCCTGCAGAAACAACGAGAATAAGGGTCCCTGTCTGTCCTTCCACTATGGCGGCCTTCAGCTTCCTCTTCCACAAAGTGCGTCACCTTCAACACCAGACATTCGAAGACAAGGAACATCCAACAAGCTTGCCTCCGGAAGCTCGAGATGGCGCTCTTCAGATGCGGCCATCTGGACCTCAAAGCAGGGACAGCGCCGAAAAAGCTTCAAGTGAAAAGGGGGATGCATGTGGCATGGGCAGTGTCCTTTTTCTCCTCTCTTTGATCATAACTCAGCAACAAGCAAAAGAAGGACGCTGTGGCCTCGGATGAGCATCCCAAACTGCCGGAGTCACAGGTGCAAAGTGAGAACAATTTCTCCCTGCATGACCATATAATATATACTGAATCTATAGGCAACAAGTACTTCGCTAATTGTCTAAAATCTAAAAGCTCCTGCAAAGCCAAGAATGGACCTAGTGGGGGACCATCTCTTGTGAGCAGAACCAATGGGCAAACTGGAAACAATGTCACCCATTCTAAAAATTAGTGCAAGGACAAACATTAATGGGTTGTACTGAAAAAGAAAACGGCTGGAAACTGATAACCTGCTGTTCCTTTCAACAACCTTTCAACAATTTCAACTCCCACGGAGTGGACACATATTATCCACTCAGCAAAAGTATGCAGCCACCAATGGACTAGAACCTGCAAGGACCTGCACCAGCAACTTACACCGACATCCCTCAGCTCTTCCGTAACCAACCCGATCACCTTCTTCATGCAAGAAACTGCTGGAAGCCGACAAAGGCTGGAGCAAAGGGGGCGAGGAAGAACCAAGCGGCCTTCATGACATGAAAACACCTCTTCTCAATCAGCGACTGTCACCCCTGACAAAAACGGCACCATTGTTGCCATTGTAAAAAAAGATCGGTAAGTGCTAAAGTATTTGCTCACACATCATGAGCCAAGCAACAGCCAAGGTGATCAAGCTGCGGAATGGGCGCTGGGACATGATTCCTACAAACACAGTCAGGAAGCTCCTTTCTTGAAGCTGAACTTATCACCGGGCGCTTGAGCACAGAGACTTGTGACTGCCAAAGAAAAACCATGCAGTACATGAATGTCATTTTATTGCAGCGACGTGCAATCATGAAATAGCAGTCGCCCTACGTTCATATTTCTGTTTGCAACAAACCAAGTGTTCGGTTACGTTTCTCAGTGGCTCTTAATGTTCGCTTCGTGTGCTGCAATGCATGCAAATAGAAAACATTTTTTTGTGGACACACATTACTTTGTGAAAAACACCGTTTATGTTGTCGAATTGTCTTCTCAAAACACTGTCGGGTCAGCTGTGGGGCAAATTAACAAGTCCAGTTTGAGGGGTAGGCACTGGACGGTCAACCATCGCACTGTTTAATGTTCATAAAGAAAGTGTGAAGACCGCGCATACCTTCACAAGTCCAAAAATGTAGGATTCTGGTCTGTAGTCACTTTCGACATAATAAAGAAACGCAATTTTTGCCTGGCCAGTGTCTAGCGCTTTGGGTCAAAAGGGCACGCTACACAAGAGTCAAACGCAATACAGTATCGTTTTTGGATTGGGCCTCTTGGACACTTCAAAACTCCATTCATTCACTCACAGCCTATCCTACTTGCCGCGCGCTGTAGCTGGTCCACCACACGGGTATTGGAACCTTTCTGACGGCCCTGACGGCTTGAAGAGGCAAGAGTCTTACCATGCAAATAGGCCACACCAAAACAGTCAAGTAATCAAACCTAAAAAAACGAGCCCCTAGTAGCGATGCCAGGAGCATCTATATAATGTGGTTTCCTTCTTTAAGATGATTGAAAAGACTTTGTTTCCTAGAGCTCTTCATGCTGGCGCCCATTGGACAAGAGTCTGGTCAGCCTCAATACTATTGAAGCCTGAGCATGCACAGATATATAATGGATGAGTGCCAATACGAACGAAGTGGCCCCAACCAACCCAAATCTGAGAAGGGATGAGACGAAAGCCAGGGCCAACCAACCGCCGAAAAGGTTTGGACATATTTTGTCCATTCTCTAGCTCTCCATCTCTTGATCTCGCTATAACAGGCGCACATTTTTGGTTATCAGGCCGTACAAAACCAGAAAGAAGGGCGTCCCTACCGCCCACCCATTCGTCCCACTAACCATCCATTGACCCATCTACACGCACACACATCCATCATGTATCCACATCTACTGATCGTTTTTTGCATCTAGCAGCATCTGCTTCACTGTCTCACTATGTCTTTGTCTCTCCACCTCTTCAGTTTTTCTCTCTGTTTCGTTAACTCTCTGACATTACCTTCCCTTCTATCCAACCCGTCCATTCACCCGCCTTATCATCCAGCGACTAGCGACGCTATACAATGCTATACATACTCTCCTCACCTCCAGCCGCATCCACTAAACAACTCTCTGCTTCACGCTGTTTCTATCTCTTACCTGTCACTCTCTCTCTCTGACACTTTTTCCTCTTTTATCCATTCATCCATCCATCGACCTACCTACAAGTGACTCAAAATGCCATGCATCGACCAGAAACTCTCCATCAAATTTTACTGATCGTCTTTTTTACATCTATATAGCCACATCTGCTTCAACATCTCGCTATGTCTCTATCATTCTCTATCTCTCCACGTCTTCAGTATCGCGTTGTCAGCCAATCCCAGCAACGTGGGCAGATGCGCTCGCAACTCCCTAATCCATACTAATCGTTACTAATCCAAACTGGTAGCCAACGCAAGTCGGCAGGCCACAATGTTGCCAATGCGGGGAGAGAGCGGTGGCGGGAGAGAGGCGGTGGCGCAGTCCATGGCGCACGCTCGCCCCTAGCATGCGACGCCCTTCTCCTCTGAACTACAAATGGCTCTGGCCCTACCAGCGGGCAATTTTGAGTTTGACGGGGTGCTAGACAGGTGCTCTGCAGTTGCAAAGACAAGTCATCGCAAAGGCACTAGGCAAGGTTTGCAGGTCATCAGTTCAGGCAGGCCCGCCCTGGGAATCTTTATGGCGCAGCGACAGCCGCCTGCACCAAACTGTTGTGCCAAGTCTCCGAAACAAGCGTTTCTACGAGACTTCCTCCAAAAGTGAAGCGGGAAAGGTCATCAGCACGTGCACATTACACGTGCCCCTCCAAAGACAGCCTGACACGACAATACTAATGGCCTAATGGCTGAGAATTATCACGAGAGCACAGCTTCGAGGCAAACCCAATTGCTCGACATTCAACACCTCCAAAAGACCCTGGGAACTTTTGCCTCTTCCGCCCTCCTAACGCTCCCCATTCCAACAGTGCTCAGAATGCAAGCAATCGCTTCATCTATTTTGCAAGCATGCTGCGCTGAATGTTTTTCCCTACATTCTTCGTCAGAAATTCTGCTGATGCCTTTCAGGCAAGTCGACCTGAGGCAGTCATACGTGAGAATTAGAACACTTGGGGGACAAGCGCTATAGTCAAAGCTTGATTGTCTTCTACACAACAAGCTAAGAATCATAGGCGTTAGGCCAGGCAGGTGTGCAAACTTCAGGACTAATGATAAAACGACATACTCGGAGGAGGAAAAGAGCGGTTAGTTGACTAGTTCCACCGCATTTCGCGAAACATGAAAATAAAACAACTTGGGCCCACACCCTCTGCAATCAAACAGTGAACTGGATGTTGTCCATCATCGACAAAGATTCCGGAGGTGATTTCGAAGGCGGCTGGCAATGAAACGTAGGATTCGAGGGGTCTTGATTGATTGTGAAACGCAAAACATCCTTGGCTAGAACATGTCAATCAAGACCCAATTCACTCAGAGTGTCGAGAACGCGTACATAGCGTGCACCCGAGTCAGGCCTTGCTGCGGACTTTTGCTACAGCTACCTGGAGTGATCAGCACGCTCGAAGTAAGGGTTCTTTGGTGTTCTGTGGAATGCTGGCTGTCCACTCTGCAGAAAGCTGAATAAACATGAATAAACCACATGCCTTTCAATAAAGGAACTGCTGGGAGAAACACCAGGAGCTCCAAAAGACATGTCTAGAATGGCTACACATACCTTCAGACCCAGCATTAAGGTTTGTGGCCTTGGCTTCGCGTGCTTCAAGCTCCCCTGGCATGATCACCTACAGCCGACACAACATGAAACGATCAGGTTGCTTCAAACAACACTGCTGCTTTTGCCCCCTACCTCCCCACGGTTTACAAGACAAGAACTGGTTTCAAGCCATGGATTCAGTCTTGAGACAGATTGATATTCCTCACAGGGTGGTGGGCCACGCAGCTAGCTTAAGTTATTTAGCGCAAGTCAACAAGCGAGAAGAAGTGCACCTCACTAAATCTGTGACGTCGCTTTCCTCCTGGAAATCAGTTGAACTGGCATTGTTCCACTGTGCTTGTTCAACCCACACACATCAACCTGGAGCGTCAGCGCTTAGCGCTTTGGCGCTATTGGGGCAAAGAACCGGAGTAACCTCTTCCTCAGATGGAGATGGTACATTCACAAAAACTTCATGTTTGTGCGACAAATGTACCTTCAAAACATCCAACACCAAGCAGTGCCAATGTATATAATTCGCTTCAAACCAGGAACCACTGCGGAGCTCGAAAAAGTGTGATTGTTCTGACCAGGTCCCACATGCCACGGCGAAGGGTCAGCCTCCAGGGCGGTCAATTCGTGAACCAACAAATGTACATGAGGTAGGTCGATAAAGTATGCACGATGAATGTCTAAAGATGCGTCTTGTTACTACAGTAACAGGTGCTTCGCTAGTAGTAACAAGTGCCTTACTAGTAGTAACAAGAAGCTGCTGCACATTGCACTCGACGGGCACGGTCATCGCTCACATCATTCACAGACTCGCCTCACCCGCAGCAGTAGGCTTCGCGGTGCTCGAAAACCGAGGCCCCATGACATTTGGCTGTATGATCGCAGTGTTTGCAGGTATAGAGCACGCCTGCAACCGCTCAAAATTAAACGGGAGGACGATTCGCGGCCAATGTCAGCGTGGTGATATGTTGTTTTCGAGATGAGATGTGTGTTCTTTCTTAGTGTGCACAGCTAACTAGCAGTACAACAAGAAGCTACTAGTAACTAGTAACAAGTGCATCGCTGCTAGTAACAAGGGCATTAGCGTACTATTAGCAACAAGAAGCTACTAGTTATTATATAGATGTTCTCTGTCAACATTCAGCTGAGTCGGACAACTGTGCCACCAACTTTGTTGGACTTGACCGACTCTGAACCCTTCAAAAACATGCCTTGGGTAGGAAGAATGGATCAAGTCAAGAACTTGTTCAATATATTGTTCCGCTCTTTACTGTTCGAATTGAAGCTTGGGAACGCGGTATGTGCATGCATGTGAAATCCAAACGACTTTGCAGCACGACCAATGGCATATCCAAAGACCATTATGATGGTCTGCTCTGCATGCGATCATTTATCCACAGGCCTGATTACAAAAAACACCAAAATCACCAAAGTTAAAGAAGGCGGGTCACTATGAGCGTGTCTGTTTTCTCCGTTCGTGATGACAGCTCTGGAATATCGTTTGTCTTCAAATCTGTTTTCTCCGTTCGTCATGACAGCTCTGGAATATCGTTTGTCTTCAAATATGTTTATTCTTATTAGCCTCTTCCTACATTAGCTACTCTTCTCAATGGAAGCAGGATGGTGGAATCAATTGTATAGGCATGGAACAGCGCACTGACCAAGAAGGGACGATGAATTATTCAAGAAGAGGAGCCGGGGTCTCTGAGGCGTGCGGGGTAAGAGTAGGAACACGCAATTCTCTTGCATTGACCTAACTCCCTTAGTCTTGACTGATGCAACCATGCTGACAACTACAGTACCATAAAAGAACAGCCTGTTCAGACTAGGAAAAGATTGCTGAGGAAAATATGTCGTTTCTTCAATTCTGAAGGATTCTTAAATCATATTTGGGAGGATGGACAGAGCCAATCCTAAGATGTAAAACCACTGGAGCAATAGAATAGCCTGTTGGGAATAGGAAGGAGTTTTTACAGGAAGAGTGTTGAGGGGAGAGGAAGAGTCAAAGAAGCGGTTGTTTGTATATGTTACGCATATTATGAGAATTCGGTCAAAATTGATTACTGTATGTCCGGCGGTTGCATCCTCAGATTGGTGAGTCTCCTATCGTTTTCCCAATGTTTTGGAAGCTTGTTAGAGGGTATAGTTTTTTTTGAGTCCCCTATGCTTTGCTCGCATATAAATGCAATACTCTTATGCACTCATAATCATCGCAAATCTTGAAGGCACTTCATATATGTCTTACCGTTGTTACTTATTCATTGTTTAATCAGTGGCATCAGTAATGAAAAGCTGATTAGCAATAGAATATAACGAACAATAGGACAAAAGACAAACCAGCCAAGAAGAAATGTTCAATTCAAGTAGGGACATCGCTAATGTCAGAGCTCTATGTATCATAGGCAAATAAGCAGACTTACAGTTGTTTGAGTTTGGCTGGCATCGTCCAAACCAAAAGAAACGAGTAACACGCAAAGAAAACTTGCTTTTCCTAAACATCTAGGAACCAAATGAATAGTGCGAGCGTGAGCTATCAAGGAGCTAACTTGGCCCTTACCTAATTAAGTAGGGGGCAGAGCTGGCTTCTAAATATGTGTTGCAAACCAGAGGCCGCTAAGATGCGCCTTTTCCAACACCGACCATGCAGCAGTAAACACGGGTGAAAGGGGTCACGTCTAGAGCCTAGAGCAACGCCGAGTCGTGCCACCTCAAACGACAAGTCAAACCAAGGTGAACAACTGAAACAGCTCCCAAGACTTTATGTTGGTTTGACTAACCAAAAGATCCAATCCTTCGCACCTGGCTCTGCGCTGCTCTGACGCTCGCTTCGATCGATTCTTCGAAGCTGGACAACTCTTCCTCAACTGAAGTTCCGTGCTTTCGTCCCAAAGAGCTAGCCTACCGGTTCTTAAAACTTCCTCCAACGCCCCATTGGAGCGAGACAAATCATCCTTCGTGAGCACGTCTGCCACCATGCGTGGATGGGGGGGCCCACCTCACTATGGTGTCTGCCTTCTTGATGGAGTTCAAAATAATGGCTATTTCAATTGCTGTGCGTCGATCTTGTCTGGAGGATGGTGACTCTTTCTGGATGGTATCGTAGAGGCTTTTTGCATCCGTGATGAGTCCTTGGTCCAAGGTTCCCTTCAGCTTACAAGTGTCGGGGAGCACCGCCACGAAAGGAGTCAGTGACTGGGTCCAGTCGGTCAGTTCGACATCGCCACAAACTATATCTCTAATCAGCACCTGCAGCCATTCTAGCTCACTGATGGCTTGGTTGAAGGCCAAGGCCTCTCCAGCAAGGGTTGAAGCTACCCTCCTCCTCAGCTTGGATGATCGCCAGGACAACAAGCTGACTTTCACTTTTCTCGAGGCAGAGGGCATGTTGTCGGAGGCAAAGATCAGAAAGGCACCCTGTATAGTGTCTTCCAGCTCTTCTCCTGGAACCTCGCGCGAAACTTGTTTCCCGGCTACTCCGCCTGCGTCTGATGCAGCAATTAGTATCATCTTGCTCATGTCAAAACGATGTAGCACCAGCGGTTGTTGGGCCGTCTGTCTCATGTGGGTGATCACTTTGTTCAAGCAAACCACGTCGTGCACGGTGGCTCTGTGTAGTCTCGAAGACAGAATGCTTACGATTCCTGCCGCCTCCGGTCTAGTTTGATGAGCCAACCAAGCCACCTTGTAGAGCATTGAGCGAAACTCTTCAAACTCCTCGTCGTCCAGAGGTGCGGTCTTGTCGGCCCTCCGGCCCACCGCCAGCTTCACCGCGGCTAGCTTTTCCACAATGTACTTGTGTTGATGCATGATGACTCTGTCGCTAAGTATCTTGACGGACCTGCCTGCGAAGTCTGCTTCTTGGTGTTCCCATTTTCCGAACTTGAACCTGGCCTTCAACTTCTCCTGCAAATCAGGCATGTACTCTTCGGTGGCAGCGATGTTGAAATCGTCCACCTCTACTAGAACCATGGCTTCGATTCTGCCTTCAACCCTTTTCACAAACCAGCATGGTTCAAACAGGCTCCTGTTGAAACCTAGGTCTTCCAAGAACCTCACCACGGTAAGATGCCAATTCAAGGGAGAATCGTCAAGCCCATATATCGGAGCCACCAAGCGAATCAGAGACCCTTTCGGAAGCCTGATGCCGTCACATGGCTCTACCCATAGTTCTCCTGCAGACCGGACAAGTTGCAGACCGGACAAGTGGATCGGCCTGACAAAAAGCTTGAGTGACATCTGCAAAAGAGACTGACAGGCCCAAGTTGAGAGCGAGTTGAAAGAACAAAACAATCGACTCTGTCGCCGGTGTTGGTGAAAACGTCTTGAGTTGACCGGTGTCTGGATCACCATGCCCCAACACACACCATCGGGACTTGTACTTGAAGTTGCCAACACCAGGAAGTGGTTTCTTTCGTCTCACCATTCGCGACTGCAGAATTCGAGTTGGATGTTTCCTTCGAACCTCTCTAGCTTGAGTCGGGCTTACCACGTCCACGGCCTTGAGGTTTTGAATGTTGGACCACTCTGACAAGTCGGATTCGTCGAAGCCGGCTCGTTCCTCTGGGGTGGCGCGCCTCATGCAAAACTCCCCGTTCTTGGCTTTGGCTGGTTTGGCCATGAAGCTGTCCTGCGCTACCTTGAGCTCTACGAAGAAATCAGGGTTCTGGGAAAAGACTTTGCTCCTCTTCTTCCGCTTCGGCAATGTCTTCTAGTCCTGGTACGTCTTGAAGGTCTAAGCTCACTGCACCAGCAGCTGCCTCAGCATTGGCGGGCCTGGCTGAGCTGGCCGAAGAGGAGGTAGCGCCTGCTGAATCTGCCACGGACGAAGATTTGCTGTCGCGTCTGACCTTTGTGTCTCTTTCAAGTCGATTCAACCTACGGAGCTCCTTGAGGGCGATCTTTTCCAGCTCCTCTATCTCGGAGATCTGTCTCTTCACTCTGCCCGATTCTTGTCTTGGGTCAATGCTTCTGTCGCTTGCTGAGTCTAGCGATTGTCTAAGAGTCTTCTCACTGTCTGTCTTTTGCCTTTTCATTTCTGTCTCGTGGCCTGGAAGTGACTCTCTTGGTCTTCGTTCTAGTGACCACTCCATGTCTTCTGCATCGAGCTCTCCGGGAAGGGCTGCAACTGGAGGGTGTTGCGCTCGCAGAGCATGGCCGGCTCCGTCGTCGCCTAGTGTCTCTGGCGCCGACACTGTCTCTTGTGGTGGTCCGGCGCCAGGTACTGGAGAAGAAAGAGCTTCTTCAGGAGGAGGTCCTTCTGCTGACACGTCAACTGCTCCGGCCTTGGCTGATTGACCCTGCATGATGAGTTGTTGGAATTCTTCAGCTCTTCCAAGTTCTGCTCCAATGGCTTCATCCCTAGAGGCTGGTCGAATCTGATCGCTGGAGCACTTCCAGAGCCTTGCCCTCATGGACACCCACACTGAATGTCCGGATTGCAAAACCACAATGCCTGGTCCTGTCCACCGGGATCTAGTGACATGTCCTTGCCCGGTGCCTGGTTGGCGCCTCCAGACGAAAACCCATTGTCCTATGGTCCACTGCCTTTGGGGATGTCTTCGATGATTTGCGCTAAGCCGGATCTTTTCTTTGGAGACTGCTTGGACACACAGCTCTCGGGCTTTCTGCCTGATGGCATGGGCTCTTCTGAACTCCGTGGTGGCTGAGTCTTGATCAAAGGCATCATTGAGCACATCGTCCCACCCTGCTTCTTGAAGAGGATCGTCGCTGAGAAGGTCTAGAGGGATTCGGGGGTTCACTCCGAAAACCAATTGGCAGGGCGAATAGCCGCCCCTACTAAACCATCGGTTCTTGTTGCATACGACGTTGACTAGCAGTTCTTCCAAATCACTTGGTTGAAGAATGATGGACTGTCCCGAGCTGAGTTCCAGTTCGGCCCGGTCTTTGACCCAGCCTCCGTGTCTCTCAGTTTTGGAATTCTGCCATGGACACGATGCATCGCAAACCACCTGCAGACAACCTAGGTGTTCTAATC